CCATGCAATAAAATCTCGCAACTGAGGATGGTTAAAAACATCTATAGAATTATTATTGAGCCATTCTTTTATACTTGATATTTTAAAATGTTTGAAGAGAAGAAGCTCTGCTCAGGTAGCTCTGTGGTCTCTCCAATTTGTACATTTGATGGTTTACAACGCTGAAATTCATTTTGCTTTTCAAACTCAATCAGAGCTAACAGCATTCTTAGCTTTGTTTCAGAAGGAACTTCTTTATCACAAAAGGACAAAATACAGAGTTGCAGAGTTAAGTACCACATATGGCGTCTCATGCTGAGAAGCAAAGCATTTCTAATATTTTTACTGACTTTTCTCAATGTATAAGCTGTCTGGATAGCTTTCAAATCATTGTAGGGAGCCAGAAATTCTAAAAAAAACTTTTCAAAAACCATGGAACATAGCAAATTGCAACGAACAAACTTGCATCCTTCAACTGCAGCACTTCTTTTTCTGTCAAGATATTACTGATATCTTTTGTCATATAAAGAGTTAGGATGTAGATCGCATCTGCTAAAAACCTTGTCTCATGGCAGGTGCCAGGTTGATAAAACTTAAAACCTTGTACTTCCGCTCCAAGGAAGAAGGAGGCAAACTTACAAACTATACCATAATCATTCCTTGAAAACATCATATCAGTAGTTGCATTAGTCAAAAATATCTTAGCTTTCTCTGCAACGGTGCGAAGAACAGAGCCAATCTTCAGATCATCTTTTTGCCAGTCCAATTTACATAATTTTTTCACTTCATTAACTTTCTTACAGATTTCAGGCCACTTGTTCTTTAGCTTGACATAAAGAGCTCTTCTTGGACCTTTAGTTTTCTCACCAGTAAGAGCAGCCATTTAGTGAGATACATGTACTTCATATATGTGTCTCCTACACATTATCCACAACATTGGCAATTTCAAAATATGTGTAAGAATTCGGAGTGCTCCATTGACTCCGCCTGTATTGGTTGCAGTTGTATCACAGCATATACCAATGATCTGCTCTTTACATCCATAATATTCTAAAAGATTATGCACTTGTTCTGCTTGGTCAACTCCTTTTAAATAGGGACATTGAACAACACCTAAAAGATGGCCTTCCATGGCATCGTCATCCGGGGAATGATTTTATTCCGGGGAATTATTTTCTTCATATAGTTTTTTTAACCATTTGGAACTCTTATCTTAATGTTCTGCTTGGTCAACTCCCTTTAAATAGGGACATTGAACAACACCTAAAAGATGGCCTTCCATGGCATCATCATCCGGGGAACTCACTGAGACTGCAAGTTGCTCTATTTTTTGAATAATGTTAAGCCCAGTGGTTTGCATTGTTCCAACAGTTTGGTATTAAAATGAAGAATATGTCGTTGGCCTTTAAGATGATTAGTTATTGAAATCCACTCCAAGTCTCCTTCAAGTTCTACATATTTGAACTTTTTTCTTAGAAGATGATCAAACCATGGAAAGAGTTATAATATGCTAGTACTTAAGTTGCTTTAAATCGAAAAGAAAATCTCACTACTAAAAAAAGTGCAATTTAATGAACTTACTTTATATTTTCCAGCTTGGCATTATCTGTTCTCAATTTATCAGCAATAATATCTTTTTAAAAATTATTAGTCGAGATGTTAAAAAGCTGATAGGATGTTGTGAGGAAATCTCTCTAACTTTGATTGCTTATCAAGGCTGCTGTTCCATTTTAGAAAAGACAATTTAATCACTTTCTTTTATTTTAAATGGTTTTGGTTTTTATATTGTACCCAGAAATCACAAATTTCTTGTCAAACCCAGCATTATCCCAAATTTTTTTAAATCCTAGTTACTAAGCAAGAATTATCAGGATCTGTACAGACCTCATTTTCACAAACAAAATCCTTGGATTTCAATTTCAATTTGCAACCAACATTAGTAGAAGTAGGTTTTTATTTAACCTGTGACTTGCAACGGATAAATTTATAGTATCTTAGAAGATCACCATTAGATTAAAGCTGTCTCTTAGGTAAATCCCTCATGGGTACTTCAATAAGTAAATATATCTCAACCCCTCTGAATTTTTCCGTTTTTTCTTATTCTGTCCCATCATCTTTTTTTAAGCTGTTCTACCCATTTTTTTATGAATTTCAAAATAATCAGTTTTTTAACTAAGTTTATACTAAATTTTACACTTGCATCAAAAATCTATGAAATCGTTATTCCCTCTCGTATCATATTTTATCCAGGTTTACTGTTACGGTTTTTATAACCGTTTACATGAGAATTTCTTCATGCACAAATTAGAATGCCTTTGCGCACAAATAATTCTATTTAGAAATTTTTTTCTTAAAAATAAATTTCTAAATAGAGTTATTTGTGAACCAATCCATGGGGAATTATACCAACTAATAATATTGTCCAGAAGGAATTATATCAGTTGCTAACAATGCTCACAGGGAATGATGCTAATCTCTAATAATATCCTATGGGAATTGTTTATGTACCAATTATTACATCATATTAAAACAAATTGAAATATTAGATAACGCTGTTTTTATGTAAATATACATATGTGTGCAAAACTGTAAAGCTCAGAATTTACATCTATCACTTCTAGTCATTAAAAAATTAAATAAGTGTGTGAATATTTCTGATGATATTGTTTGAATGGTTTAAACAAATATATATAAATTTGTAACTAAAAAATTTTTATTTTTAAATTACTAATTTAATGTTTTTAAATTTAAAAACATTTTAATTTTTCTAATTTTAAAAAAACATATTTTCAGAAAAATTCTCTGTCATAGTCTTACAAAATTGTTCTTCAGAATTCTCTTCAATTCTCTCTAAACTATTTAATAATTGACTGAATCTTGTTTTCCTGCCTGCTGAAAAACGGCATCTGTGATTCAAAAACTCAGGAGAACATTTTGACCCCTCTAATTATCGTCCAATCAGTCTTCTTTCTGTTATTAACAAGGTCTTTGAGTCTTTGATCAACAAATTTCTCACATCCCATCTTGAGTCAATTAACTTACTATCAGACAATCAATCCTCTTGCTCTACAACTGACTTCCTAACTGCTGTGACTGAAAGTTTTTATCGTGTATTAAATGGAGGCATACCTGGGCTATTGCTCTTGACATAACTCAAGCTTTTTGACAAGGTTTAGCATGCTGGTCTTTTCCATAACTTTGCTTTATACAGTGTATTTTTTATGAGTCATTTCTTTCTAACCGCTTTATTCCAGACATCCTCAAAGGCCAACAATCTCTGTTTCCAGTAATTTCTGGGATTAATGATTTTCCTGACAATCTTAATTTTATTTCTTAACGACTGAGCTTTATACTCCTTTCTTCTTATTTTGATTGCTTAGAACAGGCATCTAATTTTGAATCTGACCTCACTTCTGTAGCAGATTGGGGATTGCAGTGTCTTGTGATTTTTAACTCCAACAAAACTCAGTTATTTATTACAAACAACTATTGCAATACTGTTGACATTCCTATATTAATGAATGGCATTGCTCTCATTGAGTCCACTTTTTTGCATCTTCTTAGATTATCGTTCACTACTGACTTCTCATGGAAACAATATATACAATGGATTGCTAAGTTAGCATCTGCTAAGGTTGCTTCTATTTATCATGCTTGCTATTTTCTTACTCCTGATTCCATTCTCAACTCTACAAATCTCTTTTAATACTGTTGTCCTTTTTGGCTAGTTTTTCTAATAATCCTTTTTTTTTTTTTTAATTTACCTATTTTTTTAAATTACCCAAGGCTGAGAATGTCTCTACAGTCAAGGAGGCTGCTTTAGTTGTGGTTACAACCCTCTTTCAACTCTATAATTCCAAAACATGAAACTTGATGAAAAAGGCTGCTGCAGGGAGAAAAAAATTAAGCGCTGCACTACTAAGGATATGGTTTGGATAAAGCTCTTGCTTTTCTAGACAAGGTCTGAAAGCAAATCTTAAACCTAGTTAGACCTGCTTTATCTGCTAAGCTTGAGCTTCTCCAAAAATTATCATAAAGTTATTGCATATTCTAAAAACTTTTATTCATATAGTTTTTTTAACCATTTAGAACTCTCATCTTAATGTTCTCCTGACTCATACAATCTACAACTTTCCAATACAGTACAAATTACTGAAAACAATTTAAGTAAAGACTAGTATTAGTTGCACATTTTTAAGTTTGATGCAGTTATATTAGTCTAATTGCGCATTCTAACATCCAGTGCTATGTGTATGTCCGCTCTCCTCAATGCTATCTTTCTGACATAATTGTCTAACTTGCGTAACTAACTTCTGTCTTTTACTCCTATTTTCTTTTATTCTTTCTCAAACTCTCTTACTCTTGGTTCATCAAAGTTATGTTTGCTCCTATTGGTTCATCAAAGTTATGTTTCCCCCTAAAAACTCTACAATAAATTTTATAACCTTTTAAAATAAGAGAGGTCAAAGCTCTTTCTACAAGTACTGATGGAGATCTGATAAACTGCATCACTCTCTTGTTATAATTAGAGATTTCCCTCAACAAAGAGGTTGTTGTTGTTTTTAACTGATATAAACTCTAAGGTTTAGAAACATTTTTATCAAATGATTCTATAAAAGTTTTAGTTTTAATAAACATAGTATTAATAAATATTGCAAATAATATGATAAATGAATAAATCAAGGATGAGTATTTTTTAACACGATTTTTCAAAATGTTTTCCATTATGGTTGCAAAAAAATATTTTTTATTGTAAAATGTATAATGAACAACTATTCTAATTTAATAATAATAATAATCTAATTCTAATTTGGGAATTTTTTGATTGCTGTTGTATTATTATGTATTTATTGCCAATGTGTTTTGTGTCATTTTACTACAATACTAGGAGTTTTTATTTACTTACATTTATACTTACATTTATTCTGTTTTTTATTGCTGTTATATTCTGCTTTTTTTTTTGTTTTATTAACCATTATGTTTTTTTAATGGTTCTTTTTGCTTTTGCATTTTAATTGTAGAAGTTTCAATCATTTCAAGTCTTATTCAATGCATCTTTAAAATATATATTGACTACAATACCCAATATATTGATGACACTAGTTTGTTGAATATAATATGCAGTATTAAAGGGTTAAAAATGTCAGCGTCTATATTGTGCTCTGTGCATGAAGCTGTAGGACTTGATGAATTAAAAAAAATGTCCCGGCTATTTAAGAAACTGGTAGAAGATACAACAACATGTTTTAAGACTCAGGTATTTTTTATAATTATATTCAATAAATTTTAGCTAAATAATACTAAATTTTAATATTAAAAACTAGTATTTTTTCTAGACCTAATTATCAAATGTCATTAAACATTAATGATATTATTAAAATAATGATAATGGTGTCATTAAGCATTAATGACATCATTATCTTGATAATAATGACATCATTATTTTATTATTAGATTAGAATACAAAAGATTAGAACTGCATTGTATTGTTTAAAAGTTGTAAACACTTTTAAACAATACAATGCAAAATCTTTGCTTCTCAGCTTTTTTTAATATAATTTTTTTTCACAGGTTTCGGCAACGACTCTAGCAAGCTCATGGAAAAAACAAGATTTCAATAAGCTTGTTATGCAGATGGTTGAAGTGTTAGCTGCTTTGTCGTTGGCAGCTGTTGATCATTTTCCTGAAGATAATCATCATTCGTACTTTGCCGATGTAGATTTATATTTTCTGTTTTATTTTAGTTCAGTTTTTTTGATTTAGCATAAAGAAAATGGTGACTTTTATATAGGAACAGTAATAATTTGTTATTGTTGTGCAAATGGCAACTTTTATTATTGTGAAAATGTAATGTTTTAGTTATTTTAGTTCAAATGGTAACTTTAACTTTTTATTTTAGTATAAATGGTAACTTTAAATTTTTATTTGAAATTGTAATCTTTAAATAGTAACTTTTATTGGTTTATTTTAAGGGATCTTCTAAAAATTTGAGTAAACATTTTCTTGAATATCAAAATAAATTTCTTATATCCATGTTCAACGAAGCAGAAACTACTGTAGAAAATGGCATTAAAGAAATACGATCTTTACAGATAAATGCGTCCCACGAGGTAATATTATTGCTCGAGAATCTTTGTTCGGAAATAGCCTAACGTCTAGTAATGACAAGTGACAGGTTGAAGCAATAAAACTATATACGATTTAAAGCCATTTATGTTGCTATCAACATGTTCTAATGATATTGCTTGCTACTAATCTATTATATTCAGCTAACAATTTATTAATTTCTTATTAATTGCAATATTTAATGTTCAATTAATTCTTTAAGAAATTGCTAGGCATAAAAATACTTTTTAGTGAGAGAAATAAGTAAGCTTAATAGTAATGATAGAAAGTAAAAGTCTCTCAACAGCTGATGGTCGCTAACCCATTACTTAATTCTGTGTTTTTAGCTTTGCAATTATTAAACGTTTTGTCTTTTGTTCTTTTTATAGATGTCTGATGATCTTGTTGACGATGTTATGAACATCTTGACCTCGTGCACAACTCTCTTAAATAGGGGTAAAGACTTCATGGTAAGAAAATATTTTATATATATATATATTAAGTGTATTTTTCGGTATTTTTTGTTTTATATTTTTACAATATTTTATAAATTATTATAGATGGTTTATGCTGATGTTTGCGTTTTGAACAATGGCTTGTATTTTGCTAAAGAATGTTTTATTCTTCGGAAGATGCTTGCATCATTAGTGGATTTAAATGAAAATATTCACAATATAGTTGAACATTCTGCAAGTATAGCTAAAGACATTGACAATCTAGAAGAATTTATTGAGATACCTATCGAGTTAGCAGACACTATAAAGTGTCTTTGTGGTGCTGCTGAACAACTAACAACGTTTTCCTCATCAACGAAGCATCATGATGAAGAGATAATAACACTTTTTCAAGATTGTTTTGATAAGTTTGAGTTTGCAAGTAAAGCTGTGCGAGTTGGAGCTACTATACTTGTTCAGGAAATAGAAAAAGACATAAATATTAGCGAAGAACAATCGGTAGTTTCGTTTGTGCAATCCGATGTTGAATTAAAAAGAAATCAATCATTGTGTCCATTAAACAGATCACGTATAGATATGAGTCAAGTTGAAACGAAGCTTCAAAGTAAGTTGAGGTGGGATCGAAAATCTTCTGTTAATCGTGACTTGTTTATAAGCAGATATATGGATTCGAATGACGAATATGGGTTCGAATAACGAATTCATATTTAAGTAACTATTTTTTTGCTACTAATCTTTTGTGTTCGGTTTCATAACAAAATCAAAGTGTTTTATTTTAAATTTTCTATATATTACCAAAAATTTTTACAGCAGCATGAGACAAGTTTTGTTCAACAGAACGCATTGAACACGTTTTATTTAACAGAGCAGCATTAGACTTGTTAATATTGTTCATATTTGTATAGTTTTTTATGTGATGTAAAACAAAATGTAATTTATTATCATCCTAATAATATTTATGTTGTTCTTATAAAAACTGTACAGAATGATAATGACCTATAAAAATTATTATGTAAAAATTTAGGATTTTTGGCTCTGAAAATTTTCATATAAGTTTCATAAGCGAATTTTAATTTAAATTAATATGACTTTAATACTTGCTTTTATTCAAAACTTCTCATGTAATATCGCTTGTACTAATCATTTTTTATTGTTTTATTTTTATTTAAAGTTTTCAATATGAGGCTTAATGGTTGTTTAATTTTAACATAACTGTTCAAAAAAGTTCAAGTAAATCTAACAGATGGGTAATCTCTGGTAGTTTTAGATTTTTGGGAAGCAAATCGTCTTTTTCAAAAACAGTTTACTTTATTAAAACTGTTTAAAAATTTGTCATATTACAAGAGAATTTCTCCTAAAACTTACTACAATAATATTTACTATTTATACTTAATATTGAAACTTACTATTGTTCATACTTATATCGTTTTTTATGTGATGTAAACAAAATGTAGTTTTTTATCATCCTGATAATAATAGTAATAATATTTATGTTATGTTTTTCTTATGAAGACTGTAAAGTATGATAATGACCTATAAAAATTTTGAGAACCACTTAGTTGATTCCGATCGTTTTTTAAAGCAATTATCTCCAAGTAAAACAGTAGTTTACGTTAGAGTAGGGTAGTAAAACTTTTAGAAAACATCATCTTCGATTTTATTTTAACATTTTCTCAAACTATTTTGCTGAATTCGTATTTTTTTGGACAAAGTTTACGCCGTTTTGTTGATACCATTCAATAACACTTGAGTAATGGCAAGATGCATGATCAGCTCACGTTTCACGCCGTAGCACAGTGGTCATTTTGGGGGTCAAAACCTGCAGAAAATCTAAAACATTTTTTGTGTGTTCAAAAAGAGCCGGTATGAACATATTTGAAGTAAAAATTATAAATAACCCAAAAAATTGCTTTAAAAAATAAAATATTCACTTTTTTAAGTTAGATTTGACACTTTGAAATTAATGCTAGGTTGCAAAAATGAATTATGTGTCTCATTACCTTAAAGATCAAAATGGGTTTATTAAATAGAAGAAATTTCACACAAATATCATATCAAACATGATAATGGCAGAAAACATTTTTACTTAAGCATGAGGAATACCCACAGGGAGATTACCAACCTGCCCATCATGTATGACAGTTTTTAAATGTATTGCTAAAAAAGATTAACACAAATGAGGTTCTAGTTGGTTATATTAGGCACAACATAAGTGCTTACATCAAAGAAAATATTTTTTTACATAGAGTTAAGCATATCAATTTTGTTTGATCTGGTTGAAACTAATAACATTAGATAAATAACAAAATTGGGAATTTATGAGAATTTTTTTAATTTTTATGAGAGGCTTTGGTTGCTTTGTTTGACTTCTTTATTCTTCTTCTGAATCAGAGGCATCTCTAGAAATTTGAAGTTCCGGCATCTTCAAAAGTTTCTTGATGGGTTCAGGCAAGATCTCTGAGTTGTGCTTCTTTTTCTTGCAGTGGACATAAGCCTAAAAATTATATATAACATTTAATGGATGAAAGAAAATATTGCTATCAAAGCTAAATTGGGAAATTCAAATGAAAAAAGGTCCTGTTTCAGAAATCATTTAAATTAAATAAGCATGAAAAATTATTGAAATTGGAAAAATTTTGGATATGCTTAATTCCAAAATTACCTGTATCTTTGGATCACTGATGTCCATCAGTCTCAAGAAAAGGTCAGACATGCCATTGAGCCAGGATGATTTTCGAGCATGATAAAGACGGATTTTTCGAAGAAATTTGTTGTTAGCCTCTCCTGGTTCCTCATTGGTCATTCCAATTGGAAGAACACAAGCTTCAATGATTTGTTTTCCATGTTTCAGAACCTTGTGAATTGTTGGGGACAACCAGTACCATTTTACATGGTCAAAATAAATCTTCTCAGTCTCTTCACACAGAACTCCAAACTTGTCTGGATCAATGGCATATCCAGATGCAAGGGCAGACCAGAGTGTTCCAAGATTTTCAACCAGTTTGACAGGGACATCACAGATTCTTGCAACAATTTCTAAAAAAGAAAGAAAATATGTAGGAATATACAGATATCAAGATTTGAATTTCTCCAAATTGACAGCAAAGCTATGATGTGATGCTCATGCAACTTGACAAGACATAATATCTAAAAACTAAATTATTTCTGAATGCTTCCCAAAAAGTTTGGCGAAAGTACCAAAACTTGCAAGTGTAGCTACCTGGGTTTTGAAAAGCTTTGCGAGCAACATTTCCTGTTGTTGTAGTGCCAGCACCTCCATCCCGCCTCTGGTCAACAATTAGACCCAGCTGCTCCCGAAATTCTTGCTTGACTCGTGTTTTCCGATTTGCAACCAGTCTTTTTTCATCAGGGCTCATATGAAGATGGAACTTTTTGACATCTTGGCGATATCCAATGTTGCAAATTGTATCAAAACTCTGCAAGCCAAAGTGCAAGATGCTTATTATTTCGAATTTTTACGCTCGCCGACAATTACGATCGCACGCGCACACATGCTTGCGCGAACTTTAAAAGTCAATAAAATAAGCTCCCGCAACTCCCCGCAACAATTTCATGTGTCATTTTAAAGGTCTTTATTTCCTCTTTTCACCTGATTTGGTCCCAATTTGTTGGGATTTGTTGGGAAAAAGTTGCAGCACTGTTTTTGACATGTAGTACACTTTTTTTTCTGATGTTTGAAAAAATCATTACTATACATAGCAATATAGTTTTTAAATTTTTTTTTTTTTTTCTAATATTTTTTTATATGTATTACTAAAATTATTAAACAAAAATTTGAAAATTTTCACCCATTATTTTCTAAGACCCACTTTAAAAATAGTCATTTTTCAGTAAATTTTTCACTACTTTTTTCCTCCTGTTGTTCTACTCATAGCCAACCTATTTTTACTTCAATTTCTCTTAAACCTCATATTATGGCTCTCCAACTATCCTATTTTTTGATGAATACCATAAATTTAAAAAATCTTTTCATGACACTTTTGGGTGCAGATTTTGACCCCAAAAATGATTTTTGGGGTCATTTTTGGGGTCAAAATCTGCACCCAAAAGTGTCATGAAAAGATTTTTTAAATTTATGGTATTCATCAAAAAATAGGATAGTTGGAGAGCCATAATATGAGGTTTAAGAGAAATTGAAGTAAAAATAGGTTGGCTATGAGTAGAACAACAGGAGGAAAAAAGTAGTGAAAAATTTACTGAAAAATGACTATTTTTAAAGTGGGTCTTAGAAAATAATGGGTGAAAATTTTCAAATTTTTGTTTAATAATTTTAGTAATACATATAAAAAAATATTAGAAAAAAAAAAAAAAATTTAAAAACTATATTGCTATGTATAGTAATGATTTTTTCAAACATCAGAAAAAAAAGTGTACTACATGTCAAAAACAGTGCTGCAACTTTTTCCCAACAAATCCCAACAAATTGGGACCAAATCAGGTGAAAAGAGGAAATAAAGACCTTTAAAATGACACATGAAATTGTTGCGGGGAGTTGCGGGAGCTTATTTTATTGACTTTTAAAGTTCGCGCAAGCATGTGTGCGCGTGCGATCGTAATTGTCGGCGAGCGTAAAAATTCGAAATAATAAGCATCTTGCACTTTGGCTTGCAGAGTTTTGATACAATTTGCAACATTGGATATCGCCAAGATGTCAAAAAGTTCCATCTTCATATGAGCCCTGATGAAAAAAGACTGGTTGCAAATCGGAAAACACGAGTCAAGCAAGAATTTCGGGAGCAGCTGGGTCTAATTGTTGACCAGAGGCGGGATGGAGGTGCTGGCACTACAACAACAGGAAATGTTGCTCGCAAAGCTTTTCAAAACCCAGGTAGCTACACTTGCAAGTTTTGGTACTTTCGCCAAACTTTTTGGGAAGCATTCAGAAATAATTTAGTTTTTAGATATTATGTCTTGTCAAGTTGCATGAGCATCACATCATAGCTTTGCTGTCAATTTGGAGAAATTCAAATCTTGATATCTGTATATTCCTACATATTTTCTTTCTTTTTTAGAAATTGTTGCAAGAATCTGTGATGTCCCTGTCAAACTGGTTGAAAATCTTGGAACACTCTGGTCTGCCCTTGCATCTGGATATGCCATTGATCCAGACAAGTTTGGAGTTCTGTGTGAAGAGACTGAGAAGATTTATTTTGACCATGTAAAATGGTACTGGTTGTCCCCAACAATTCACAAGGTTCTGAAACATGGAAAACAAATCATTGAAGCTTGTGTTCTTCCAATTGGAATGACCAATGAGGAACCAGGAGAGGCTAACAACAAATTTCTTCGAAAAATCCGTCTTTATCATGCTCGAAAATCATCCTGGCTCAATGGCATGTCTGACCTTTTCTTGAGACTGATGGACATCAGTGATCCAAAGATACAGGTAATTTTGGAATTAAGCATATCCAAAATTTTTCCAATTTCAATAATTTTTCATGCTTATTTAATTTAAATGATTTCTGAAACAGGACCTTTTTTCATTTGAATTTCCCAATTTAGCTTTGATAGCAATATTTTCTTTCATCCATTAAATGTTATATATAATTTTTAGGCTTATGTCCACTGCAAGAAAAAGAAGCACAACTCAGAGATCTTGCCTGAACCCATCAAGAAACTTTTGAAGATGCCGGAACTTCAAATTTCTAGAGATGCCTCTGATTCAGAAGAAGAATAAAGAAGTCAAACAAAGCAACCAAAGCCTCTCATAAAAATTAAAAAAATTCTCATAAATTCCCAATTTTGTTATTTATCTAATGTTATTAGTTTCAACCAGATCAAACAAAATTGATATGCTTAACTCTATGTAAAAAAATATTTTCTTTGATGTAAGCACTTATGTTGTGCCTAATATAACCAACTAGAACCTCATTTGTGTTAATCTTTTTTAGCAATACATTTAAAAACTGTCATACATGATGGGCAGGTTGGTAA